ATTTTATGAATTTTAAGGTATTTTAGAAAACTATGTTCAGTTACTGGACTAGTCAGCTCAGTGAACCACCGAGATTCAACAGCATACCAGAGTTCGGAATTGTGAATCTCAGTTGAAAACCTACTTCATTTCTCTTTCTAAATATCCTCAATTGAATGAACTTGAAATCATTTTACCCAAGTTTCTGTGATCCCTATAGTTTTTATGTTTTAGGCCTTCTTCTTCTTTTTTTTTTTTTCCTACATTCCTTCTATTAACATCTATTTACATATTGATTTATTCTTAAATCACCTTCAGTTCTATTAGCAGTGGCCCTTTTGTTAGCTTCTTTGCCTTACTGCTATTTTTAATTGGTACTATTTTTTTTAATCTTGTGTCAGCTTGTAAATATACTTTCATGTATTTTTGTATCCATATTCACCTGTCGTTTTTCTATTTGTCTATTCAAAACCAGCTATGAGCAGCTCCAAATTTTCTGCCATTGTTTCGTAGTCTATATTTCTTCTGTAAATTTTGGCACTGTTGAAGAATATTTCTCCAGATATTGTTGTAAAGCTCTATCTCTTCAGAGGTGTTTCTGCTCTATACAATCCAGTAGCTGAATCTCTTAAGGTTATTTTAGCTTGGGAGTGAGCATTATTAATCTTTCAGACTCAATTATCCATTTTACGGTAGTCTAAACTGAAGAATATGAGACTCTATTTGAATAACCCGGAGCATGATAAAGTTATTCTTTATCTGTTCTAGTAGTAATATTCCTGAGTAATTTGTTTAAATGAGTGGTCCAGTTACCGCATTTTTGTTTCTATGGATCAATTTTCATACTATGAATCCGCCTCTCTTGAAGGCAAAACTCTCCAGAATCTCATCTGACATCCATCGCAGAACAGCCCTGTTGGCCTTTACACAACCTTCGGTCGCATAAACCTAACCTGCCTTTCCTCTGGTATAGGTGTGAATCTTTTGTTCTCAGTTACGTCCTCTTACTACCCACATCCTAACCAATCACCCCTCAAGATAAGTATTGGTTAGATAGTCCTGCGTTGATAACTGATACTGGTGTTGTGCAGCTTTTTTATGTTAGACTATGCAACCGTGACCCTCATTTTGTAGGTAATGTTTTGTGTATGGCATAATGTCAGCCTGAAATTCAAAATGTTTAGGGAAGTTTTATTGATGGGTCACATAAATGTTGGTGGTAACTATTCAAAAGTTCATACGGTTACTTAAGAACTGATTTTTTTTTTTTTTTTTAATGTAGCATGTTGCATTTCTATTCCAGATTAAATTCTGTGTATCCACTGTATTTGAGTGCCCCACTTTTCAAGTGCTGTGACCTCTACTTCTCTATTGCTTGTACCTTTTAACGATGACCTATTTGTTTCTGTGCCGTCAAGCTCAGAGTTATTTATGCTTATCTAAATTAGTAATTCTTAAAAGCAGTATATAGCTGAAGTCTTGTGTCTGGTGATGAGCTGACACAACAACCATGTTAAGGGATGGAGGGATAAAGGAGTATGGGAGGAAGGAGTGCCATAAATAGAGCTGAAGTAGTATGGGATCTACAGTCAGGAAAAGGAAGCAAGATTGCACTATAGTAAATGGCATTCTTTTCCATCTGAGATAGCTCAGAGAGGACGCAGTGCGTTGAGGTTACAAAGCAGCTATTCATGCAAGAATCTTAGGATGACTGTGGAATTCATTCATTTAATGCTTCGTCCTTAAATTCTTTCACATGAATCTGCTGCTTCATGATCTTCGTGATCTTCTTTTGGGGTAATAACATAGGATTGCACAAGAATAAGAATGCTTGTGATACATAGTTAGAGAAATGAGCTTTTGACTTTGGAGAAGCCTGAAGGCAGAATGAATGGGGAATGGTTTGTATCCCTTTATTTTCTTCATCTCTATATCAAAACCTACTTTTCTCTTCTACACAATCTGTCATTTCAGGGCTCTGTATCTCAGCTCACTCCAAACGTGATTTGGTGTCTTTGCACACCTATGAGAGCTGCAGTTGTTAAATAGCATGGTCACAGTTTGACAGCTGATGTCAAAATATATCCAAGTATTGTGTTGTGTGACGGGTGCACATGATGTTCCTGGTAGAGGTACTTAAGAATTACTACGCCAACGTCTGTCTTCCATAGATTTCTCCTATTCCTTTTTGACACTGGTCTTTTTTCTCATGCGTATTTTCCCTTTCTCCTCCTGAAACTGCTACATGAAAATGAATGAGAAAATGAATGAATATGATTGAGGGAACTATGGAGAGACAGCAACTGAATGCGCGCTGCACGTAATTTGGAGAATAGGGCTGGTTGACAAGGATAGCTCTGGGCAGGTGACCTTGGGGTACAGGAATTTTGACACACTGGGGTCTTCAGTTCTAATGCAGTAAGGCAGTGAGAAGAGGGGGAGCTCCTGGGGCAATGAGACTGTGTTCAGAAACATCATGTGATCTTCTTAAAAAAAGCACGTGTACCTCATCACAAAAGGCAGTAAATACTGCTTTACAGATGTGGCTTGGAAAATTCTCTAGGATACCAGCAAGCGAGTACGGTACAGCTGAAGACTGATTTCAAACTTCTTAGTATTGAAGGTAACATTAATTTTGCTTTAAGGGTGTATACTTCATTGTGACCAACGAAGTCACAACCAATGCTTGTCTTTTTTTTTTTTTTTCAGTAACTGTTTCTGAACAGATATAGCAAATATAGAAATACATGCAGATTTGCTTCTGCAGAGAATACAGATGGTTCTCATGGGTTCTGCTTTGGCTTTGTCCACTCAGTTGCAATGTAAAAGGTTTTCATCCTTATGCTGGCTGACTTGTGTGACTCGATCCTGAGAACAGCTTCAAGTGTCTCATTGCGTAGATGTTAGCTATACATTTTTGTACTGTCCCTGCTCAGTAAGGTTATTGCCAGCACTGCTCTGAAATGTCACTCAGGGAAAATAAGTGTAAATTATGTTAGTCTTCAGCAATTTACATAGGCTTCTGTGTGTTCCCTGTGACAAGGCAATCAATTCAAAACCATTTGTCTTCCTTCCTCCTTCTCCTTCTTTGTATTGCTTATTTCCTGTTTGTGGTTTCTGCAGGACTGGGAGGATGGCAATACACTGATCAGATATTCTGTTTCAGAGTGGTGTCCCTCTGAAACTAAGTTCTATCCTGGGAACCAAATCAGAAGAACAATTGTGGCATCTCTCCAGTTCAAAGGTTCTTACTTGCACGAAATTCTCTGAAGTCAGTAAGACCGAGTAGGTTTTCATTCAGAGCAGTTTTAACCACTGGAAGATTTGCTGAAGTTAGAGACCTTGGAGTCTGGCCTTTCTGATTTTCTAATGCTCGTGTCAGAACTAAGAGCAGTCAGGGTGCTGAGCTCTTCGACATGTAGTGTCAATTCCCACATTGTGGACTACTCACAATCCTTGCATGTGCAGCTCATATATTGGCTGATGCACCAGGCAGTGCTATATGGTGCTGCATATTGTCTGGGCTGCATGAAGGACCTGCTGGATGCATGCTAGGCCGAGCCTTCCCATGCAGGCAGCAGTCTGAGACTTTTTGCTGTGGGCATGCAAGTAAACAAGAAATGTGGATACACCTTGGCTACAGCTTGTGTTTAGGACCAGGCTTAACCTTTATTTCCTGTATTATAATATGAATTGCTATTGCTTACAAATAATATAACCAGATCTTAATTTAAAAGCAATTTTAATATGCTTTTTAACAGGGAAAAAAAAAAACCCAAAACTGCCCAACCATTTCTTGGAGAAGTTCCGCTCAGTGCACTGCCCACATCCATTTTTGTGCCACTGTGTTTAAAAACTAAAAGTGTGTTTTTTGAGCTGTAAGGCTATTTAAGAAGAATGTTACTAAATAAAGTTTTCAAATCTCTCCCCTAAGGACTTTTAATGAAGCTCTATTTTTTAGGAAAATAAAAAAGGGCCACTTCTCTGTAAGTCCCTGGGAATTAAGATTACCAGTAGGAAGAGGGTCTTGGAAAAGATTTCTTATCATAAGCTTATATCTTTCTTCATGCTAAGAATCTGGTTTTAAATAGAGAAAAAGCAAAAACGTAGGCTTGCAAGATCATCTGAATAAAGATCTTTTCATTGCATTTTTAATGAATACAGTGAATATTTAAAGTTGTGCAAGCTTTGTACAATCAAAGATCTTTAAACAAAACTATGTGATTAATGTCTGTAACTGAAGTACACTGCAGAGCTGTAGCAGCGGGGGTCAGAGCCGTGAGCTGTAACTCCAAACTCCCATTTGGAAGTTACCCGAAACTTTGTCAAGCTACCGGAGCCGGCGTCCTTTGTTCCAAGCGTGGGTGGTGACAGAAGGACACACCTGAAGCACTGCTGCAGCCTGTAACGGGGGCAGATCCTGCTTTTTCCAAGGTGACCCCGCCTTTTATTTTGGGGTGGTCTCTGCCCCCGGCAGCGCTGCAGCGTTTTACAAACTCGGTGCAGACATCAGCCAAGTTGTTAACATCCACGCTGGGTTCAGGGGGAACTTTTTTTTTTTTTTTTTCCCGCCCCCAATTTTCCGTGCCCCCAAAACGCCCCCCATCTCGCAACCGAAAGCAAGCAGCCCGGGCTCGTACACACTACCAGACCTACGGGTTTCTCGAGGGGGTGGAGGGGAGAAAGCCGGCGAAAGTTTTTAAAGGGCCTGCCGTGCGGCGGGCCGAGCGGCGGAGCAGTCACCATGCCCGCCCGGCGGCTGCGTGTGCCGCCGCGCCGGTGCGGCATTGTCTGGCGGCGGAGCGGAGCGGCGGCCCGGGCCGGGCGGCGCGGCGCGGTGTGCGCGGCTGTGCTCGGCGCGGCTCCGCTCTCCTCGCGCTCTCTTTCTCTTTCCCCCTCTCTCGCTCCCCCCTCCCTCGCTCGCTCTCTCGCTCTCCCTCTCTCTCTCTTACACTGCCAGCCCCTGATGTGATGGCGAAGAAACCCCGTTGACAAGGCACTGCTTTTTCATGACGGTGAGTTTCCCTTTGAGTGTATTATAATTTTGTGATAAAAATTTCAAGGAAAAAAAAAACACACAACCTCCTTCCTCCCTTCCTTCGGGGAGGGAAAAGAGAGGGGGGAAATCTATCTCCAGACAGACAGAAAAGAAAGAGGAGCAAATTAACAGCCAGGAGTTGCCAAAACCAGGATATTAGGTTTCAGCCCAGAGAGCTATTGGCTCTGGGGCTATGTATATAAATATATATCGGGAGAGAGCGAGCAGAGGGGCCGGGAGGAAGAAGAGGGATGCGTGGTGCGGCTGTTGTTCGGGCAGATGTGGATTCACATGGAAATGAACCATATATCTCTGTTTTCGGCGAGGCTGGCGGCGGCGGCTGCCGAGGGCACTTAGGAGAGAAAAAAAAAAAAAAAAAAAAAAAAAAAAGTTGTTTCTTAAAATAAAGGCGCGGGGGGAGGTTGAGGGAGATAAGGTTTCAGGTCCAGGCTGATAGCTGCGGAGAGGGGAGAGGTTTGGGGTGGGTTTTTTTTTTTTTTTTCTTGCTGATGCCATGCAAATGCAGGAGAGGAGGGAAGAAAAATCTCTTTTAATGACTCATTGATTGAGCCGGTTTAAAATTAGTTGTTGTTGTTGTCTTTTTTTTTTTTTTTTTTTTATTTTCCGCCCCCTTGATGGCCATCGAGAGAGGGATGGAAAAGGAGAGGAGGGAGAGTGTGTGTGTGTGAGTGTGTGAGAGAGAGAGTGAGGGAGAGAGGGGATGGAGAGAGTGTGTGAGGGAGAAAGAAAAATAATCTTTTCAAATCTCCTCCCTCTTTTTTTCCCCCCTCGTTTCTTTGCTTTTCTCTAAAGCTCTGTGGTCTGTGAAACACTCGTTCTTCCTCCTGCTCGGGAAAATGGAGACGCGCCGTCTCGCTGCCGGCCGCGGCGCCGGGAAGGATTTTTCTCTCCTTTTTTCCCTTTTTCCCTCCCGGCTCGATGCGTCCCTCTGCCCGGCCGCTCGCCGCCACCCTAATCCCGTCACTTCTCGCAGCTCGTGGCTCAGCTTTGCGCCTTCTGGGGATTTATTTTTCGCTCGTTTCCTCGCTTTCGGTGCCGCCACTAGATTCGATTCGATTCGTTCGGTGCTTGCTTTGCCGTTTCCTCCGAGCCGCTCGGTGCCTGCCGCTGCCAGCCGCGATGGACACGGCGCTTTTTGGGGGTGCGCGGAGCCCTGGGCGGTAGGTCCTGCTGGGGCTGCCCTCCGCGGTGTCGTCTTTTTAAAATTTATTTTTATTTTTTATTTATTTATTTATTTATTTTCACAGGGAGAGAATATTGTACCGTGCCTTTTAAAATCTAACAATAAACCGTCTATTTCTGGAGCCAGCCGCTCTTTTTTTTTTTTTTTTTTTTCCCCTTTCTGGGCAGACGCGTTTATTTGTGCGATCGGGACTGTTTTCCTTAGGAGCAGCAGTGCTTTTGTAAATACTTTGTGCTCGTGGATCAAACAGCCTTTGGCGGACGCGGAGGGGAGCTGGGTGATGGGTGCAGCAGTTCCTGCTCCTCATGCGCTCCTGCGATCAGCTGCAGAGCTCTCTCACGGATAATAACGCCATAACGCGTTAATATAAAAACGGGGCAGAACCGTATGGCGAGCGTTTAAACGTACTCAGAATTACTATTAAATAACACCGGGAGAAGGAAGGAGGTGCTGAGGCCTGTTCTGTTTCCCAGCTTCCCGCATAGCTCCGGGCTACGCTAACGCCGAGCTGAGGGGCAGAGGGCTGCCGGAGCTGCGGCCGGGCACCGCTGCCAGCCTGTGCCGAGCGGCTGTGCCTGTGAGGGGGAGTGGGGCAGAGCCGGGAAGATGGCGCTGTCTGGCTTCCTGCCAGCGTTTGTTGCGCAGTTTCGCGCTGATTCTCCTCCCCCACGGGCGCCATTTTAAGGCCCTCGCTGCTGTCGCTGAGCCGGTTGGGGCGTTGCCGCCGCGCCTGTGTCTGTGTAGGAAGCGTTGTCTTCCTGGGCAGACAGAAGCGCCTCTACGTGTCCCAGCCGCGAGTTTTCTCCTCTGCTTGAGAAAGCGGAACACGAAGTTCCCTCAGTGCGCTGTGGGGGGAGAGACGAGGGACTGTTGGCTGTTGTGTGCCCAGGGGGCACAAAGGAGGGCTCCTGCCCCGTCTCCTCTGTCACCCATGTCTCTCATCTCACAGGTCTCTGCTCTAAACATCACCCCATAGCTGCTTTTCGTACCCATCAAACGCGTGTTTCTTGGCACGAGGTGTGTTCAGGGCTTACAACGAAAAAGGGTTCGAAAAAACATTCCCTTCTGTTGAGCCAGTGACCGAAATTATGAGATACAATTAAAGGGGAAACTCGCCTTTGTTAGGTATTTAATTGCAGCATGTGAGGTGAGGTAATCATTAGTAAAGCATCTTTAATATTTGTAAAAATGTTTGCAACAATTCAAGTGCAAGTAACTTTTTGGTGTGTGGGTCTTACTCACTTCTTTGATAACAGCTTGTTTCGTTTTTGTTTGGCCTTACACCTAATTCCATCCGAAGTTGTTATTGTTCCTTTTTTTTTCTTATGTCCTGACTGTGTAATGTGGTTGGTGCTTGTGGTTTAACAGCAGCATCTGCATCCAGGAATAGCAAGGATGCTACCAGACCAATTCATGCTGAGTCCACTAAGGTGGGTGGAATGCTCGATTCTTAAATGCTTTTCTAAACATTATTTTAAAAGGGCTCCCCACGCCTCCTGCTCATTTCTGGAGGAAGTGGGAGGTTTTTTTCATTTGAGGTTAAATCCTTTGCGTGTTGGTCCTGGAGGGTTTTACATTGCATTTCTAGTGAAACGCACGTTGTTATTGCTTGAAATACTCTGGAAAAAAAGTTACCTGTGTATAAACTCCCTTCTGAAGTCTTGGGGACAGCTTTGTTAATGTTTTTTAGTGATCCACCTGCCAAAACTCTTAATAAATTACTTTAAAATGTAAGTGTGGAGTGTAGTATTCTCTCATTATTTCAGAGATCTCTCATTATTTCAGAGACATGACGCTGACCTTTCCTTGAAGCAATTACTTTGCATCTTTGTTAACAGCCTTGGGAATAAGATGGAAGTGATTCTATTTTTTTTTTTTAGTGCAAATATATTTTTATGTAGTAAAATTCTTGTAATAAGCACTCAAGATTTGCTGATTTTGTCTGTTTTTCATACATTTTTTAAACTAATGAGGAATTCTCATAAAATGATGAGTATTTTCCCGGTGTGAAAGAGATCTTGTGTACACATACTGCACCAGCGTGCTTCCATTAAAGTTAAACATATGCTTAAGTTGAAATCTTTGTCAGCTAGAAATTAGATGTATCTAAAATGAATAGGTGTAGTACATTTCTGTATACCTACTATGTTTCTTTGTCCAGATCTGAGATGAAAAGCTTTGTTTTGTTTCAAATAATACTTTGTGTCCTTCTCACCTTGCTGGTGTTGATTGAGGAGTGCAGGAGCTCCTGGCTTGATAGCCTGGTCCAGTTGTGCATGGTGGCTTGTTCACTAGTATGCTGCTGATACATACTAGATGTGTTTTTTACTGTGGCTGCAGTATGAGCACTTGTACAATGTGATATTAGAGCGTTCTTGAGTTGAAAATAGGAAGCGTGTTTGTGGCCTTACTTGCGGTCACTGCTGTGTAGTTGTACTTTTGACAGAAGTGGTTGTGCTCTATCTTACTAATTACGTGACCTTTACAGAAGTTAATTTTTCCTGTCCTCCTACCCACCCTGCCGAAGTGGTTTTGTTTTTTTTTTCCCCCAGTATAG